AAATTTCGAATGCCATATGAAATGTGTAGCGTTTTGGTAACAACAGCAGGGGAGGAATGGTCGGCAGATAAAGAGTGTAGGCGGTGAGCAATAGAAACTTTAAAATTTTCTAAAGACAAAACAAAAAGTGTGTAGCTTAACATTGTCTGTGAAGCTTAAAAGAAATAGCTTCATTTTCAGCTACGGACAGTTTAAGGATTTGGAGGAGAATATAATATATAGAAACGCTCAACTAAAGTCGTTCAAAAAAAAACGAATCATCTTTACAGAACTTCAGAAATGTTTTTTGTAGTTCAATAGATTTTCCCAGGTTACAAAACTCTGCAGTATCAGAAGCTAAGACCGCACTGGATCTCATGCAATCAATTCCAGTACAGCTTCCTTTAAAAATTCGGTGAATCACTCGATTCTTGCTATATAAATCTTTGTGTATACAGTAAATGAGAATCCAAATAACTGGAAAGCTTTTTGTCGAACTTGAAAAAAAAACACTAGACGTACTTGGCGTTATTCACGATTAAAAACAAAATTTTTTTGTATCAACTTCTATTAAAAGCTTCAACAGAGTCCAGTTTTGTCATCTGTTATCTATCTTTCGAGATCAGTTAGATGAGCAGATAAGTCCAATGAATACAAAATAACTTCAATATAAGAGAGAAATTGCTCTCATTATTGCTAAAAGCTTTTGTTGAGCTTTTGTTCAGCTAATGGCGAATCTTCCTTTCGATAGACATTTGATTTATGGGAACTCTTACTCTCTAATGCTTGAAGATACATTACTAAAGCTTCCAACAAACAAAAAATTCTTCAGCAGTCATCAGTCTGTATATAGACCTAAACTATTCTAACTTTTCCCGATCTACAATACTTTAAAATTTCTTTACTTTGAGTTAAGTTAACATTCCCACAAGATTCCGCATACCTCTTGCTCCCGAATACTTGAGGATACATTACTAAAGCGTCCAACGAGCTTCTAAGGTCTTCTACAGTCATCCGTCTGAATGTCGACCTCAACCGTTCTTTACCAGCCACCGCTCATCTCTGAATTATAAACAACCGAGTAACCCAGTTTATATGTAAATTAGATTGCCAAGAGAAAGCTATAACTCATGTGACAAACAACAAAAAATAATTGCTATCAAAAGTGAGCCAAAAAACTGGCACACAAGTAAACAACTTTAACCTCACAAACAGTAGAGAGACGCTGAAAGGTGAAACGACACGGCAAGAAATCTATGTTTTGAGCATATGGACACCCATACAAAGGGGATATAGAGGACGACAATTTTAAGTGGCAAATTCAAACGACAAACATCAAGTGTGAGGCGGTTGGGCGTTGACAAAAATCAGAAATTGAGCCTCAAAGCAGCAGGCAAGCAAAGAAGTAGCTTGCGACCCCAAGCAAAACAAAATTTGGTGCTAGGCATATTACGAAAATACTAATCCACTTCGTTTTCAAAATTCTAATAGCATTGAAATCGTGAGCTACTCAATGAACATGAATAGCATTTCCTGCTGCTGAGCGTAGGCACTTGCCGTTTGTTCGCTGTTTGTGTCAGCGCGCTTAAGCGCCATTAACCTGTGCTCATAAAGGAAATGTCTTTTGCTGCCTCTTTCTGATTTTTCCCGCTCCGCACTCCTCGCCTTCTCCTCAAATTCCGTCAATTAATCACAGAAGTGCTTTGCATGCGCGCGACGTCTGCCTATGCCAGTCTTTCGCTCCAGCTGCCCGGCGAATCAAGCAGCTAGCTGTCTTCTATTACGCCTCCATCCGCTTATGCGTCCACCCAAGAGCCATAACCGTCTGCTTGCGTCAGTATTACATGCCTCGTGGCCACTCCCAGTCACAATTGCAGTCAGTTTGGCTCCGTTTTTTTTGACGCGCATAGAACCACTTGTCTCGCCCGCGCTTTGTTTATACAGTCCAGCCAGTCGTTAGCCTATTTAGCTATTTCGCTGTTTGTCGTCTTAAAGCTCACGAGCACTCAATGTGTGCAATCATTTTTCGCTGCTTCCACCTTTTAATCGCTTTCTGCGACTCTTTGCCATGCTGGCTCACCCACTCCTCCAGCTCCACTTGAATTTTCTTTCACCGAAAAAAATTCTTTATTAGCTGGCTGTATGTGCTTTCAAGTGCATGCCCACCTCTTGTCTGCCATTTCTCTCACCCTCGTCCTAAATACGGTTTTATTTCTGTTTTAACCTCACCCGCTGTTATTCTAACTTTGTTGTGCAGGTGTATGTTAGTGTGTGTGTGTGTTGCCATGCTCCTGTCTCTGGCATGTCTATCGTTATTGTTATTGTAGTGCCCATTGTAGGTGTGTCATCTCAGTGCCTTTAAGTGCATTTGTAGTTGGCTTACAATGGCTGTGACGCACGGCATATAGTTTATGCATACATATATACATATACATATGTACATATGTATATAGAGTTGATAAGATTCATATTGGATATTCAAGTTTTCTGTTTCTCAGGTTTTTCTTAAATGTTAGTAAATTTCAAACGGTATACAATTATACTTAAACTTGACATTTAATTTTACTAAGAAAAGCGCCTAGAAGTAGACTTCAAAATTTTAAAATCCGTATTCACAGTACTTATTCATATAGAATTTTTAAGTCTTTACAATTTAGAAATACTTAATAGTAATAGATTTATATATTAAAATAAACAAAATTGTTTTTAATATTATTCTCCCGAATACAGAAAATCCTAATTGAAATACTTCTGCTAGTTTCAAAAAAATAATTACAGAAAAAAATTTTATTTTCAATTAATTTCAATTTTTAACACTTCAAAAACAATTGGAAAAAAGAGAACATAATAATTATATACAAAAATATTTTATTTAATTAAGAAAAAAAATCTTAATATATTAAAAAATTTTGATTTTTATTCACTGTTAATTTTTTCACGTAGTAATAAAAACAAATTTAATTTAGTTAAAAATTATTACAAAAATATCTTTTTAAATTTTCCATTACATTTCTTTAAATACTTTAAAAAATGTTTTTATTTCAAAATATTGTATTAAAATATTTCAAGCCATAAATAAATAACCTTTGCTTGTTTGCATACCCATTGAGCCAGAAATGATTCCCATCACTGGACAAAATTGGGTCGAAAGAAAAAGCTGGATCTTCTTCAAACTTTTCAAGAGCCCATAGAGCAAAGCGATGTCGCTTGGGAAGGTCGAGCGTAAAATGCGCTAAGCCGTTTCCTACTTACGTCAGTCCGAGCAGCGGAATGCCGAATCGACTTTCCACGGTATTCCTGTACGCTCTCAACTACAACTGCTACATTTTAATAATGAATGCAGGATCTCAATATCGGTGATGGTGTTGCGCATAATACGATCTTCTGGTTATGGATATTACGCCTAAAAATATGCTAATATTTAACCAGAAACGTTTTTCGCATGCGACATCTTCTCCCTGCTCATATTATTTTCATAATTTTCTCCTTTCAATTTTCCATACAGTTATGTATGTATGTGTAGGCTAATGAATCTATAAATATGTAAATATTTATATTGTATATTACCCACTATCCTTTTCCCAAATATCCCAGAAAAAACATCACGGTTTGGCGCCACCTAGCGACCGGGAGCTGCAATATTTTTTTCATATATTCAATATGAGGTGCTTTTCGCGCCATCAAGGGAAGTTCCTTCGTGAATTACAAATCCTAATATTAGGGAAATTTAATAAGGTTGTGGTGTTTGCTAAATTTCCCCATAAATAAAACCAGTGTTTTCTTGTATTAATCTGTATGGGATTAATGCAAAAATACCATATTTTGACATACAAATTATTGATGAAAAATATGTATAAACCATTTTAGTTTTCACAAAAAAAATTAAATAAAAATTTTTTCTTCTACCATTTTTTTATTTGTATTTATTT